GCTGCTGCTCTGGCACTGCTGGCTCCGGCCGGCCGGCGCCGACAACACCAGCCAGGCGTACTACACCGCCCTCATCAACGTGACGGTGCTGAGCCCCGAGCGGGGCGGCCCCACGCTGCTGAGGATCGACCGCGGCCGCTACGGGCAGGATTCCCCCAAGGTGGAGGTCAAGGGCCTGCTGGTGGCTCCCGTCCCCATTAACGGAGGTAACGCTTCCTTCGCCGCCGCGGGTGGCTTGCTGTCGGGTGCCTCCTTCACAGGGTGGTTGGCCTTTGAGCGGTGCGGACGCTGCCAGAGAGCTCTGACAAGGAGGAGGAAGAACTTGCCCGAGGAAAAGAATAAAAAGGAAAAAAAAAAAAAATCCATGATCGGAGAGTGCGGGCTTTCGTAACGGCTCTGCAAAGCATAATGGGGTCTCCAGCATGGATGCCAGCAGGCTAGTCGTGCTGAGCGATGAAGGTGTGATTTCTAAACTAATGACAGAGAGTCGGTAGCGATAGGTAACAGTTTACGGCATTGCCATGAGTCTCGGAACAGCTGCACAGCAGACTCACTGTGATAAATACGCATCTGGATGGCTTTTGCAGCTGCATGAATTCATGGTTGGTCAGTGTACATTTCCTAAAAATGCTGTTTAAGCTGTCCATCAAGACTTAGGAGGACTGGAGCCATGAAGCTCTCATGGCTTGTCCAAAATGCACTTGTTTGAAGTATTGGATGCTGTGTAGTGCTTCCAAATAAGTTTTCTGTTGTCCATATAATTATTTTCTGGACAAATGTTGGGTTTTATAGGGAACATTAGTTTAAACAAGTGAGAGAGTTGTCTTATTTTTGCCTGAAATGAAACCAATTGCCTCAGTCATAATGAAACGGTTGTAGTATCTCATTTTGAAAACCCTTCTCGACGTTATCTAAACTGCCATCTTTACAAAATGGACCACTTGATGGATCACAGCGGTCCCAACCTGTCTCCTGGCCAGTAAACCTCTGAATAATGCATTAAGGGAAATAATGTAGTTGGTTAAAACTAGACTCTTAAGTGATTAATATTAAGAGGGGTTTTTTTAATGAATTGCTAACACAGAACTATTGTATTAAAAGCTTTTGTGAATTTACCAAATCTTAAGATCAGGAAAATACTTCGATGCTTCTCCAGAACAAAAGGCATCCTGCTAGGCAGCCTGCTATAAGCTTCTAGTATGTATGAAGCAGACTGCATCAGCAGATGCTTGCCAGTTTCGTTGAAGCTTGGATTCATTATCTTTACAGAGTGTTAACTAGAGTATGTTAATGTAGCATATTTTGGGTGGAAGGGTGAGGAAGCAGAAATCATTGAGCAAATCTACTGTAAAGTGATTTTCATTTGTACCTCAAATCCTACCTTCACCATGCTCGCAGAGTCAGCTACCATCAAATACGCTCAGTCTTCCCTTTTGCTTCCTGGTATTCCTCACTTAAACACACCCCCCCAACCTCCGTATGAAATCGGAGGCTGTCCTGAAAGTGTTGAGGCACGTAAACACGGTTATTGCAAGTAGTATTTTTAGGGTTTTTAAAACTATTACCTTTTAATATATGCAAGGTATTCAAATGCTTGATGTGTTTAGTGGCTGCATTATTTGTCAAGAAAAACTTTTTACGTTAATTACTTTTTAACCTGCTTCTGTTACTTTTTCTGCTTTCTTCTGATACGGTCTTCACTAAAACGTTGAGGGAGGCTGACAGCATTTTCACTGGCAGCTAATAACGAGCTAAATAAAATTCTGAGCAGTCCATAAACAGCATTTTTATACCTTTTGGCTAAGTATTGTATGATGAATAACTTCATTGAGAAAACACAGCAGGAAAAAAACCTCAATTTCTGCAGTTTTGGTGTGCTGTAGTCATTAAAACTTTGCCATCAGTTGTTGGGGAGGTTCAGTTTTGTCCTGTTTGTCAACAAAAGACTGTTAAAACAAACCTTAGAGCAGTTGTCTTCTTTAAAGGTTCTTCTGAATTGTTCTATGTAGGTTGTAATATACAATTTTATTTGAATAGTATACATTTTATTTGAACTTGGCTGAGGTGCACTTCATGCGGCTTAAAAATATTTCATGTAGTAGGAAAGACTGGAATATTTTATGCTTTTGGTTAAGATGTTCTTGAATGCTTAAGGGTCTTATGTTATTCTGCTTTTTTACCTAGATTTGATAGAAGACAATACTGTCATGCTGAAAGTAATTGCTCTAATGCCTTTTCATCAGTCTGTTAATATTGCTGTAGAACTTGTTTGCAAATTATTTTTTTCTAATAGCTCTTAACACAAGTAGCTAGCACCATTTACTGCTGTTAGAGCAGTAAATGCTCTACCCCAGTTCTCATGTGTCCTAAGAAGAATAGGACTCTACAACTGTTAACAGCTATGTTTGAAGATACCTTGACTTTGAAACTGTCAACCGCTTTGATGTCAAGCATTTACCCGTTCATGGGCTATCCCTTGAAACTTCCACGAACATGAGTGGTCTGTTAGCACTTTGATGGCATAGACTGGGGCATCCATGTTTTAGAGCTGAAATGTCCTTGATGTCACATTTTTGCATGCTGCATTAAGATCTCTTATTCATTGCCTGCAGGAAAATAAATGAATTTACTAATTCAGAATTTAGGGCCAATGAACTGCTCCTGAACATACAGCATTTGTAATAGCACAGCGTGTGATTAAGCGTTGTGCTTTGCGGTGTTTTTTGTTAACTTGTGTTCTTGAATATACCCAGTATTTTATATACTACTTTTTGAAGTTGCCCTGTGATTACCCATCCTTTAGATGTCAGTGCAGAATGATACATTCAATCACTTCTCCTGTTTCTTTAGCAGAATTTCTTTAATCAAATTCAACCTTGCCGTGTATTAAAACTCTTTCCAAAAACTGTTCTTTTTATAGACCCTTGCATGAAATTGATACTGGCTTTCAAAAAGCAATGTTCCCCTGGAAGTGATACGGCGGTAATTCACATGACCGCTTCAGAATGTGGCTTGTGAAAGTGTAACTCCAGCGAGCTGTTGGCCACAGTTGGCCACTGGCCGTAAATGTGGCACCTGTGTACACGTATCTTACCGAGTGCTTTAAGTGCCTGATAGCAGCAGAGTTTCTCTATTAAGCTCTCTTCCGTTCTTCCACTTCTAGTTCCTTTTCTTACTTCCTCTAGCTTATTAATCTTTTCTCATGACTTGAATAAGAGCATTTTCAACAGTTTATCAAAAAGTGCTCCTTTCCTTCTGCCTGGAAGGAGAATAGTGAAATGCATCTTCACAGCCTGATGCAGCTTTTCTGGTGGTTCAGTTCAGGTTTATATCATTTCTTCAGTGAGGTTACTGAGCGTTTCTCATTCAGTCCCTTACTTAGTTATCTGTGACTTTGTGGAACCAGCCATTTCAGCCTACGGTGCTCACAGTAGCTGCCTAGGTACTCGCGGCAGTGTCTCCACACGCACCGTGTAGGTGTTCAGCCCTGTGCACTCTAACGACCTTTGCTTTTAAGCACCTTTGGTATTGGGTTCCTGACACCAGTTGTGGTGCTCATCTTTAGGAGTCGGTATGTTCCTCTTTGCTATGACAAACCAAGCGAGAAGCCATCGAAAACTCACTTCAACGGTTCTTGATAGAAACTGTGTGGCTTAGTTCCCTCAAAAATGTTCTCCGCGGTGAACGTGTTGAGTCTGGGTTCGGATACACGGTTGAGGACTGGAAGCATCAGTCCTGTGTGCTCTCAAAGTCCCCTTGCAGATGGTCACAGCTTGCTGGGGGGCAAGGTTTTGTGTTTGGGAAGCAGACGGGGTGATCAGGACTGGAGATGGGACTGATAGGAGGTGACGCAGCAGCAGATACGAAGCCAAACTTGAAAATGTTAAGACTCACTGAGCCAATAGGTCAGGAACGAGGGGGAGACGGTGGGGTGGAAAGGGACTGTGTGGGGACGTGAAGGTTGTATGAAAGTTGCACTGGAGAAGACCTGTAGAAAGGGAGATCTCTGTGGAAGGGGTAGTAGGGTTGTGGCTGGGCAAGGAGACTGAGAATTTCAGGAAAAGCCTAAGTTAGAAAAAGGTTGGAAGTTGGGGAAGAAACAATGTTGGCTCAACATCAGGAATGGAGGTATATCTCGTGCCCAGTACTGTAACTATAGCATTTTGTAGCATCTGACACTTCATAAACACGGTGTGTGAACAAGTTTGAGCTGCAGAAGGCTTAAAATGTCAGTTTCCTGGTAACTGCAGAGCTTTAGGTAATATTCAGACAGAATTTTGTGTTCCTTTCTGGCCCAGAATCCGAAACGATGAGCTTTAGGAAGATGCAAGAAGCAAATGTATCGATAAATATAGAGTAGTGGAAGAAAAATCTTGTGCATGCATCTATCCTTTACTCTTGGTCTCAGTATCCAGCTTAATTAGTAGTCATTAATTGATAACAAAAGTGGAGGTTATATATTGGAGCTTATAGCCATAATTGCAGTATACTTACTGAGCTAACAAGATTAAATCTTAACTACTACAGGACTCTTCTAAGCTTCAGTGATTTTTCTTTTGTTTAACTTCTTCCCTGGAACAAGATTACCTCTCGTTCAAAGAGTTTCTTTTAGTATTAAAACCAGCTTTAGTCAGAGCAATTACCTGAAATAGTTCTTGAAAATAAAAAGTTGCTGTACATAACTCATTGACACAACTTTTAAAAGGTGGAAGTTACAACTGGCTTGAACAAGGACTATATTGATAATAACACAAGCAATAATGCTTTGAAGGAAAAGGCGTATATTACACGTATGTTATTAAACCCTAATGTGATAGCAAATACTAGTACCCTTCCTTGAAACAGGAAGGAATCAGTGCTGCTGTATTGCTGCTGTAAATTTCCCAGCTGAATGCCCTTACTGGAGATTTTATCACAGGATTATAATTAATGTGTTGCACAAGGGTGTCTGTTTTGCCAGTCAGGTGTGCTGGGCAGTGCCTGCCGGAGGGAGGGAATGCTTTGGGGCGCAGGCTGCAGAGCACTGCAGCTTCCTGTGTTCTTTCCCACAGAGTCTCTTCATCTGCTGCCCCTCGAAATACTGGTGGTGTCTCTCCACCTATTGTATTACAGCGATTGAAGGTCAGACTTTAAAATGATTTCTGTATGTGTAGCTGAGACAGACCAGCTCTGGCAACTGGTGCTGGCATCAGAGTACAGTATTAGCTGAGATGCAATCAATATCAAGATATCTGACCTTTTTATTTAAAAAAAAAAAAAAAAGGAACAAAAGAAAAAGGGAAAAAAAAAAAAAAGCATGGAATGAAATAGTTACTGCCCAGTCTGTGGGATCATGGCACTGGCCTTTTTCTGTGAAAAGGGGACAACAGTCAATGCATCAGTCTTGGCTGAAGCGGGACATCACAGCTACGTTTTAATCAATGCAAGAGCAACATAAAAGCACGGTATATGGGAGAAATCAAACCCAGTCCCGGTTCAGAAGTAGAAGGAGACGGTCTGCATTCAGGCAGGTGTGTACTTACTTCTGACAAAGCCTCTGACAGCTGACCATTAATTGCATATTTGCTCCCACAAATGGCTATCCCTTTTACAGGGGGGAGGCTAAAGGACCTGGTCAAGCAACTGGAAAAGATGTGGAGGAACGTACTGTTGCTGTGCTAACGTGAGCTTGCCAGTGCTGCTTCTGTAGTTAAGGAAGCCCGGTTGGTGATATTAACTGCTTCTTTCACATGAATCCCTAAAATGCTGTCACAAACATAGTCCTTCAGCAG